TAGAAGCCTTTATGATTCTGAGTTTCATGCAAGGCGGCTGAGACATAAGAAGGATGCGAAAGAATCCCTACAGATCGGGGAAGATTCGGATTTTGATTCTAAAGGCTCACGAGTGTTCTTGATTTCGGAACATTTTAGCGATGGACGTATTGAAAGATACAATATGTGGTGATTTGTTTTCAGGGACTCGAAGTTGATTTTGGATTTTGGAGCTGGAGTTTCGGTCGGTCACCGATGTCATTTCCAGTATTCGGTGCAGATTGGCGGACAGAGTTTTTTTCGAAGTTTGTTGTTTTTTATCTTATCGTGAGGAAGCTCATGGCTTTAGTAGTCGAATTTGGCTTTTATGGTTTCTGTCAACTGTTAAGTGGCTTCTTTATAGTTGTTCTGTGTTGTGCTGTGTTTCGGGTATAGTTCTGGTTGTCCTTTTGGAGTTGTTGTAGCTGAGGCGATTAGGCAGTTAATGTTGTTGTGAAGGGTTGTTTTTGGTTGTTTTCTGGTTCTTTGTCTTGGGGTGCTCTAAGTTTGTATCTTTTGTAATTTCTTTGGTTTAATGAAATCTTAAGGCATTCTTTTCCTCCTTCCTCTTATTAAGGAGCTTATTTACAAGCTTCTTCAATCAAGAAGGGGGTTTTTAATGAGGCCTTCAATTCCTATAAAAAAAAAAAAAAGACAATCGATTCTACAGACCATTTGACATCCCCTAATACTTTTATTCAACCATGTACCAGATCATCTATAAGCCTCGAGTGGCTATTATCCATTGCAAATCGAATAAAATATACAACATAGACACAAAACAATCGAGGCCTATCGTATATAATTTGAGTAAAAAATGCGCACAAAATCCACAGAAAAGGCAAGTATTAGGAACAAATAATATAAAGCTATCAGTTCAATAACACACCTTGGAGAGATATAAAACCTTCCCAAAAAGGCCTTGCACAGCAAGTTTCCTCTTAAATCCCTTTTCTGTAAACCCTGACATGTCCATGACAACTGGGCCTGAACAGTAAAGAAAACTTATCAGCAAACCACTCACAAGAAGATAAATCGTATAGAAGTTCACGGAGAGTGCGTATGGAGATTAAAAAAGACACGAATGCAACTTTGAATCTTAAAACAAACTTAATATTAGATCAGTAACATGATTATGATCAGAAATGCCGTATTGGCATTTTCAGAAATAACCTTTCGAAAAAGTATAACTACCACAATCAACTATAGTGTCTATCATTCAAGGTTAGTAGGTTCCAGACAAAAAAAGGATGTTATCTATTTCACATAACAAGTAAAGAGAGCGGCAGTGCTAAAAGTAACCTTTTTCGCGAACAACTCGTCTTGAGATTTCATTTAAAATTTCAGCAACTTGAGAATCGTCCAGCAGTGAAGCTTTCCTCAACTGGATTAAGTTAGCAACCAAATCTGCACTCCATGGTTTCTCATTCAAAGAATACCTAATGTACTTGCGCAGAATCTCCTCCACACTAAAACCTGTCTGGATAGGGATTAGCAGTTAATATTAAAACTCAAATGACATGCATATTACACATTAAAATAACAACAAAATGTCTGCATGATATGAGTATGCGTGTGTAAGCATCTCCGTCAACATATCAATTACTTCCAAGAGACCATTACACACATAAGAAAGTAAAACCAAGCTCAATAGCAAAGTCCTATTGTAATGATTCTTTGCCAATAAATGTTCTATAGAAAAAAAAATCCTATGAAAAAGGCAATAATGAATTGATCTGAACTTTTAGCATAATATATGGTATTATGGTTACTTGAAGATGGATCTTATTATCCCCTTTTCAATAAGGATATAAATTCATCTCCTGAGAGCTGAAATTGGCAGGACTCGATTAAGCACTACAAGCAAGACAGTACAGAATTTTCCATAAGGAGATATGAACAGCCGAGTATTCGACACATGAACATGTTTGACATAAACATGTTCAATTTTTATAATCTTTGGAAACTCGTATCTAGATATGGGTCAGACTAAAATATGGAACACGAATACTTAAAAGAAAATTGAAGAATTGAAACAACTAAGCGTTTGGGTGTTACCCTTTTCTATGTCTCACCTTTTGCACTAACCCCTTTAGTGCTGATTGATCAACTGCATCACTACCTTGCTGAAACAACTCATCGATTGATTTGCAAAGCATTGCATTTCTATTAACCTGAGAAAGCCAAATCCCATTCCCTATTAGTCCAAAACAATTGAAGAAGTATGAAAATTCAAATTCACTTCCAAAACCCAGAAGAAGAAAAAACTTCAAAGGAAATCAATTCCAACTAACCAACTTCTTTCTTTTGTGCCTGGGAGAAGTGAATTTCTTAACAGTCTTGACAAAAGCAATGACAAACGTGACACCAGCATACGCTAAAGGAACAGCCAGGATCCAAGGCAAAGAGCTGGTGCCAACTCTGGGTCCAGGGATGGCTTGAGTAACGGAACCGGTGAACTCAACAAGGTCCAATGCCTTCTCTTGAATCCAGGGCAGCTCCTCCTCGACCTCCACTTCCTCTTCTTCGACTACTTCCTTGTTGTTTTCTCGTGGGTTTTTCGAGGGCACCGAATTCTCTCCTCCGCCCTTGGCTGCCGCGGTGGTGAGAGAGAGGGATAAGTTTGGTGTTCTTATCGGGGTGAACGAGGGATTGATAAGGCAGAAGGAGGTAAGGGAAATGTACTGACTTTGGGTCGGTAGAGGAATTGGGAGGGAGGGAAAGAACAAGTGAAAGTAAGAGAGGAAGATGATGAAGCAGAAGCAATAATGGCCATTGAGCAAATGATGTTTTCCTTGTAGATTTTCAGAGTTTTGAGCTTGTAGTCCTTGCTTTCCAAATGGCCAAACCCCTAATTGACAAGCTTTAAATGCTTAAATATCGAACTACTCCCTAATTTGTACCGAAAATGAATTTCAATGGTAGATTAAATGAGTGTTTATTTAAAGAATTATGTTTTAAATAAATTTTTGTAAACACAATCATTATTAAATATATTAGAATTCGTTAATTTTATTGATTTTATAATTAGTGAAGATAAAATTGATTTTTTTTAAATAAACCGGGTCTATTAGATTTTGTAAAAGGTGATACTGAATTGTGTGTCCAAATTTAGGATACAAAATCTATATTTTTAATCTGACCAGAACAATAATATAATTTTCTTATATACACTTAAATATAATTGTTATAATACTTATTCTATTATTTTTTAATTAAAATTTTATTTTATTTTATAAAATAATTATATTTTATAAGTCGAATGAAATCTTTCAACACTCAAATCAGGTTCAAATAAAAAAAAAATATTTTTCAAATCAAAAGAGATTAACTAAAATTTCGATCAATCCTTACTAATTGTTGTTACTAATGATAAAATAATACATAATTGATTCAAAAAATCTAAATAATCATTAAAAATTATAAATAAATAAAAACACATTTTTTAATCGTAATGTTTTAATTTATTTCGCTTTTTAAGAGGTCTTCCTATTCGCTTACATATGGTACATATTTTAAAAAAAGACAATAGTATATACACCTATTGTGGTAATATCCAAATGATTCTGATATGGTACATATTTTAAAAAAAGATGTATGCTTGTTTATTGTTTCAAATATGATTTGATCTTTTGACATACTTAAATAAAACATTGTACTTTATATTAAAAATTCAATAAAATATAATTCTATAACAATAAAATTAATTTAATAAATTCAAAATTCAAAAGAAAATATGAAATATGTATTTTTGTTTACCGAAAATCGTTTATTGTTTTTTTTTTATATCTGGTTTTTTTTCCTTTAGTTATATATGATATTGTTATAATTTCTGAATATATATGTGTCAATTAGTATTTTTCGTGTAGATATTAATATCTTCTTTTTGCCGTAAGTTCATTATACATATTAGACATATTATTATTTATGTAATTTCTTTTTAACGATTAGTTATTTTTTACATCTAGGGTGCGTTTGATTCACGAAATATAAGATTACTAGTGAGAATAGGATTATCGGAATGTAACATTACTTAACACATTACTGGGAATGTTACATTACTGTGTTTGGTTTGTTTGACAGTAATGTAAGATTACAGTGTTTGGTTCAATGAATAAAAGATTATTGGAATGTATATTTTACCAAATTGACATTGTTCTATATTTTTAACAAGTGAAATTCTAATTATTTATATAAAAATTAATCGATAATATATTTAAATAAAAATTATTTATATAAAAATTCATCAATAATATATTTAAATAAAAATTATTTATATAAAAATTCATCGATAATATATTATTTTATTATTTAAACATATCATGTATTATTTTTAATTTTAATTAATATTAAATTTTACATAATTTATTTAAAAATATATTAAAATTTTACTTCAACATAATTTATATAAAAATATATCATGTTCAGTTTAGGGATTTTTAACTTTCACTATGATATTGAATCGACCATGACGATGATTCCGTTGGGTAATATTTTTATTGTGAATATCAATTTTTCATTAAGGAGTAAAAATTGACATTGTAAAACTTTGAGAAATATTTATAATATTCGAATAATTGAATCGAATATAATATTTAAATTTATAAAAAGTAATTAACATATTCGAAAACTAGCACATTACTTGCAAGTCCTATACTACATAACAAAAAGAAGTATAACATTAACCATCAAAAATTTATATAATATTCAGACTTACAAAAGATAATAGCCATGACATTATAAACTTAATCATATATATTGGCTATATTATATACACAAAAAAAATTCTTCAAATCAAAAGATTAATAAACATCACCAACGTAGCATCAATTGTCTGAAACTAAATTTAACATAAAGCTAACAACCCTACGACATGACAAGTGATTGCCAGAAATGCAAGAACAACAGTATAAATAACATACAGCTACGCCCAGAAGTATGATCTTTGTTGGATGAGGGTAAAAGATTAATGAATTGTCAATCTACCAGACCTAGAGAGTAAGCAGAATTGAACCAAAAAAACAAACAAATACTACATAAATTAACTGTGAAAGTATTTAATTAAAAGTAAATAACAACACTACCTGGCCTTCAGAAGCATTTCCACCTACATCAAGAAAATTAGGAGTTCCCCCATGCAACTTAATTATATCCATTGTAGCCATTGCTAACCCTGCACCATTTACCATGCAACCGATTTCTCCATCTAAGCCAATGTAATTCAAATCAGCTTTGGCAGCTGCAACCTGTAATAGGCAATAATGCAGAATCAGGGCCATGTGTACAAACATTAGATAATCATGCAACTGCTGATACTATTTCTGGAAGAAAACCAAGAATAACCATTTGATAAAAATGATAAAAGAGAATAATGTTACATACTTCTTGAGGATCCTCTTGTGACGGATCACGAAGATAAAATATCTGCTTTTGACGAAATGCAGCATTATCATCAAAGTTTAACTTCGCATCAGCAACTACTAATTGGTTGCTAGAAGTCTCAGCAAGTGGATTGATCTGTTGACAACAATAAACGATTTAGACAAAGATGAACGCAAGATAAACAGAAATCCATATAAGATGACTGGTAACACATGAGGTAGCCAGAGTAAAATATAGCCAAACAAAGAAAGAAAACCATACTCACTTCCAACAATGTGCAATCAGATTCACAGAAAACCTTATATAGCTTCTTCACTTGTTCAATAGAATCGTTTCTATCAGCAACCTTTGGAGCCAAACCATCCACGACCTTGGCAGCATCTTCATCCGCAATTCCTTTGAAAACATTAATAGGTACCTATAAAAAATAACTCATGAGTCAGTTGCATAACTATGATCACTGTGGATGGAGAGACTACCTTATTTGTTATGCCAAAACATCTAAAACGGTTATTTTAACCTTAATAATCAGTCTTGACGATGTGAACTCCACCCTTAAAACCGTTTAGGAATGTTCCCAAGCCTCTTCCACCTGCCAAAATTTGACTTTTAACAACCACCTGCATTATAATCCAAGTTCACAATACTTGTATTATATAGTCATTTTATATAAAATTGTCATAAAATAGTTTCTCAAAATTAAATTTCTCAGTGAAAACACACGCCATTAATTCCTCTGTTCTTAACAAAATCAACAAGCGTGCTATTAAACAACAAACAAATTCTGCGCATAAATTGAATAAGTTACCACATTTTGATTGGGGAATGTTGTCTTGACAGCTTCTTTAACTTCATCAAGAGAAGAAACAACAACTCCTTTTGGCACGTTAATACCGTATTTGCTCATCAACTCAGCGCCTTGGTTTTCAGATTACCAAAATCACATTTGTCACCAAGAATCTTATATGACATTTATATTTCCAAAAAGACGCATAGATCCAAAAAAACTATTATGGTAGTAAACTCGAAGATCAATTTCCATAAAAAAATCGTCAACTACATAAAATTCATTTCACAAACATGAAAATGTAAACTTTAGATCATAACTAAACCACAATTTCATATTTAAATTTTCTCAGAAATAATAAAAACTATAAACGCAAGGAATAAAATACTTAAAAGAAAAAAAGATAAGTAAATAAACCTTATATTCGTGGATGTTGAGACGGTGGAGTTGCTGTTGCTGTCACTGGCCGGCGACGGAGAGAGAGCGGGAGACGAGTTTGTTTAGTTAGTAATTTGTTTCCTCAAGAGAAAAGATTAACGATCAAACAAAGGACTGTGAACCGAGAGTGCACAGCTGGATGCTAGAGCGGTGGAGCGTGAGGAAGGAACAAGTGGCTTTGCAAAGGGATTTCAATTTTGGGAATTCCAATTTTGAGAACACAAACCCATAACCAAGTTGAAGAAGAAGAAGATTTTAGCCAGAACGAAGTACGGGGAGGATATTTTAGACAACGGGGAAGAGAATAATGAATTACCTAATGGAGATGAGGGATAGATATTTCTGGGAAAACAGAGTAAAAAATCACTGTTGGTCTTAATATTTTACTGGCACTTGGTAATGTGGCTCATCCAAACGTGGGTATATTTCTTCGGGGAAAAAACATTCCTCCCAAGAATGAATTATACCTTGAACTAAATGGGGCCTAGGTTCATCTCATGCTGTTGATAGAATGAGATTACGATAAAAGAAGTATTGATTTTTATTTGTCTAAAGTGAATACGTTTTAGATTTTTTTATATTCATTTATGTTCATCATACTATCATTAGTCGTTTATTGTTATATTTTTTTTATGATTGTGTTAAATATATTTCAAATATTATTTTAAATGACGTCTATATGGCTACTTATTTATTTTTTTAGAAATATAATGTGTTAGAATTATCAAATTGAAAATCTTTTAACTTTCAAAACTTGACATGGAATTTAAGTGGCTTTATTTCGCTATTATAACCCAGCGCGAGCAAATAACCAACCAATAAATGAACAAAGAGAGCGATAATTGAAATTTTTTCCATCTTTGCAGTGTCCCCCTTTGGTTAAAACCCTAAATTCAGGGAGAATAGCGAGAGAATTCATATTTATTCAAATTCCTTTATTGCCCCCTTTCTAAATCAAATCCCAGTAAAAGAAAAGGGATTCAAATTCCGAAACACGAGGAAGAAATCCATGGATTTGGATCAGTGGATACCAAAGGTTAAAGAAGGCCAACATCTTTTGGAAGACGAGCTTCAGCTTCTTGGCGAATACGCATTTCCCATTCCTCATCTATTTTCTGTTTTATTCCCCCTTTATACTCGTAGGATAATTGGTTTAGCTTGACATGTTTATTTTTGGTCTTGATTGGTAAAACTAGGGCTTGCGCGGTTTTGTGATTCGGAAATTGAGACGTACTTGAAAATGATTGCTCACCATTTGGAAATGAATCAAGAATTGCTATAAAAATCAAGTTCGTGTTTTGTACATGGAACTCTCACGGCATCTATGCTTTTTTTTTAATGATTTCATCTTAATTTTTTAATCGAAAAACCTTCTGTACCCGTAAAAACTTGCATTCCCCGTGATTTCAATTGTTTATTGGATCATAGGCGTATCTTTTACTGTTATATTAGTCAATGGAATCCAGTTTCTGTTTTATTCACTTTAATGGTGTAATTTGGTGGTTGCTATGTGTCAGCCTGCGGTTTTATTTTCTATGAAGGTTTATTCTCGTGTTGTTATTAATTGAACCTGATTCATTGCATACTTATGTTGTAACAATTATAGGTAAAAGAAATCCTCATTGAGGAGTTGAATGTGCAACCTGTCAACAGTCGGTAACTGTCTGTGGTGATATCCATGGCCAGTTTTATGATCTAATGAAGCTTTTCCAGACAGGAGGTCATGTGCCGGATACCAATTATATTTTTATGGAAAGTTTTGTGCAAATTCTATGTGGTTTCCGTGTCTATTATGGTGTTAATTTGAACTAATGGACAGGGAGATTTTGCCGATCGAGGTTATAATAGTCTTGAACTTTTCACTATTCTTTTGCTTCTTAAGGCAAGGTATGCCCTATGGATACATGCTTAAACATCTCTATATTTTCCTTTTGGTTATCTAACGATTTTCAATCATGTATTTCGGTGCATTATTTCTCTTTTTTGGGTTTGCTCTTGGTTTGCTATGTGATTACTAGCCCAATTCTCAGACCTGTAATGTAAAATGTACCTGGATCAAGGTGTATCCTATCATTGTTCATCAGTAACCATCATACTGTCACGGTATTAGGGGGAGAAGGGATAATTGACGGGAAGGAATTGGGAATTGACAAAGAGGGGTTAGGGATTTCACCTGATGATTTGGGGGTTTGTAACAAAGAACACGGGCACGTGAGGAGCACGGATAAAATTAAAGAAGGGAAGTCCATTTTCAGAACATGTGGAAATGGAAATCAGCCCAATCCTGGAGCCCAAGAGGAAGGAGAAGGATACCTGCACAGACCGTTAGATTTGTTATTCAAAGGACTGCCAGCTGGCTAGAATTAGGGAAACCAGTACCATGTAAAGAAACAAAACAATGCACTTCTAGGGATTACACATGATTTTGCTGAATGAAAGTTTTCTTCATCTGAAACCTATTTTCTCTTCTCCCATTCCTTTCGTCTAATCAATTATTCCCTAAGAACCATTACACATTCATGATTTTAGTTTCGTTTAGTTTTTAGGAATAAAAAAGAGTTATTATTCTTATATGATGCAGATATCATGAATTGCTTCTGCTAGCTTTTTCTACGCATTTGATAAGGGCATTATTTGTCTGATTCTGTGGCTTGCCAACGATATTCCTTGTTTGAAATAAAAGGTAACACCTCCCTTTTCTGAATCATAGGTACCCAGCTAATATCACACTCTTGCGGGGAAATCATGAAAGCAGACAGCTAACTCAGGTATTCTTGTAAAGACCTTGTAAAACATATGCAAGTTCTGTTGTGTGTGCTGTAAGTATAGGGAAGTTCTGTGGTACGGCGGTTAAAAAACGGCTAAAAAACAGCGTGACTGGCTAAACAAGTGACCGGTTAAAATCGAGACCGGTTATGTTATATCATTTAACCGGAAATATTAATTGAGTTGGTAATAAAAAAGGTAATAATCGGTTATGTTATCGTCCGGTGTAAAATGCGCAAAAAAAATATAGACGATAACATAACCTATTAATTACCGTTAACATTAGCAAGCACAATAACATATTAGGTAGCGCTTATATAACCTAATAGGTTAATTATTTAATTTGTTGTTATAACATATTAGGTAAACGCCTAAAATGTTACTAAGGATAACATAACCGGTTAATTACCGTTAATAGTATCAAGCACAATAACATATTAGATAGCGCTTATATAACGTAATAGGTAGTACTTATATAATAAAATAGATTAATTACTTAATTTGTTATTATAACATATATAGTTAAACGCCTAAAATGTTACCAAGGATAACATAATCGATTAATTACCGTTAATATTATCAAACACAATAACATATTAGGTAGCGTTTATATAACGTAATAGGTAGCACTTATATAATAAAATAGGTTAATTACTTAATTTGTTATTACAACATATTAGATAAACGCCTAAAATGTTACCAAGGATAACATAATCGGTTAATTACTGGAAACATTATCAAACATAATAATATATTAGGTAGCGCTTATATAACGTAATAGGTTGCGCATTATTAAAGCTAATTGGGCCTTAGAAATCCGAAGATAACAAAATAGGTAATTACTTAATTTGTTATTAGTTATGATAAACTTACCTTAGGAATAAATGTTAACAAAATTTAAACTGATGGAGCCAATAGGAATCCCACGATAACATAACCGGTTAATCACTTGATTTGTTATCAAGCTTTATCAACATGGTAATTGTTTACACATTGTCGAAGCCGTCTTTCGGTTGGGGCCCCGGAATTGGGCTTCGACTTGAATGAATTGGGTTAGAGTCGCCACCGACCATTTTAAAACGAATTTAGGTGGGTCGGGCACCATCTTACCTGATCTACGTTATACCAGAAATGTGTCGGGTTCGGGAGTCGGTTACGGTCAAGGAAGGATTAGCATCCTTGAACCGCCCTTTCGGTACCAATTAATTTTCCGGTTGTCTTTATTTGCGAAAATTGAAATTTAAATTAAAATTCAAAAATTCAATCCGAATTAATTACATTTGATTGATTGAAATTACTATTGAGAATGAAGAAGAAAAATGTTAGATTGAAATAAAAGAATGAATACCGAAAAGGAAAGAGAAAATATTAGTATAATAATAAAATTAAAGAAAATGGATAAAGATGAATAACAATAAATA